TATTTCATGAATTATGACTCAACATAGCGACTATTTTCGTTTTTGATATTTTATTTTTTTTTCTTGTATTTAATTTTTTCCTTCATTTTTGAATTTTCCTAAATAAATTATTACATTATCTGAAAAACAGTAGTTGAATTACTTGTTCTTAATTGATCTCATTTTGCAGGTAATGAAAATTTTTGAAAGCCTGTAAATGCTATAAATACTCCAATCATATTTTTATGTTCAAATTTTAATAATCAGTTTTAAATACTGAGGTAGGATACAACTACAAGTCTAATAGGGAAGCTTTCCGCAAATGACTGCTCTGGATTTGCTGAAAATTTTTACACAGTCAGCAAAAATTTGTCAAAAATACTTTTTTCAGAATTTTTTAAGTATGTCCCTGTGATTTTTTAATTAGACATTTGAGGATAGGAATCCTATGAATGGTAAGTAGGTACCTACACTTGCCGTCTCACATCTTTCAAATGTGGCAGCTTATGAGTTTTGAAATACCTTTAAGAATACTAAATACTCAAAAAAACTTCATGGTTTCTCTTAAGCCTTCATAATCAAGGTTTTACACAACTTACCTTCTAGGTAGGCTTAAACGTAAATCGAATGACTCTGACTGTAAACACACCACCTCGCTAACTTTAAAATGCTCAGCTTTCATTAAAGTTGCTCTATCTTCATAAATGGCATCAAGGGTGGCTCATCTATTTTATCTCTACCTTTCAAAATGTCAATAAGTTTTTGTCCCACCCGAAAGATTTTTTCCAGACTAACTTCGCCACCCACAATGCAGTTCTTAATGGCCCCTGAACATTTTCATTTTTCCGAGTTGGTGTGCCTTCACTCTCACTGATTTAATTGCTTTGTGGAGGGATGGGAAGTGTAAGTTTGGTACAACCATGAGAAGGTAAGAGCTGTTAATGTCCAAACTCTGGTTTTTCTGCTGTTTTACCTCTTGAGCAAGCGCGCAAAGCAAATTTTCTCGAGTCAAAAAGTCAGGGAATTTCTCATGAAAGGTCAGGGAAAAGTCAGGGAAAGTCAGGGAATTTCAATACTCTAAACTTTTGGCCACCCTGAAATTGCTGAGGGAGAAAATTGGAGATTTTGCAATCATAAAGGTAGATCCGTACCCACATTAAGTTCTGTCAAAATCAAATAAGTTTTTCCTCCATATGTTTTATTTTTTGTTGTGGCAAATCCAAAATTGGATCCATTGCAAGAGTTCATTTCCAAAGTTATTCTCATTAGATTTACTCCAGGTTTAGAAAAAATGTCCTTTTTGAGATGCTGAGTTAAAGGTCCCCTTAAACTTCTCTCGGTCACAATAAAATGAGGGGCTTCCTAAGAAAAGGAGCTGTCTGAGAGGTGATCATGAATCTGGCCCATAGCCGGCATGGTAGCTCAGTGAAAATAAAGTACAACAATCAAGAACCCTCCATATGCTAGAGAATGCAACCCCCCCACCCGCCGCCCCAAATAAATCATACGATGAACAACCAAAGAAATCACCCGAGGGGTGATTGCCCTTAAATAAAAGAAATATGTCTACATGGAAAAAAAATGCACCAGGGGCTACAGCAGGAGTGATGAAATGGACTGCATTTTGCAATTTGGAACTATAAATTCTGGCTCTCCTGGAAAAACGCTTATGTGCATAGGGAAACTAATGGCTTATGCGTTGTTTTTAAACCAGGCTAGAATTTATAGTTCCAAATTGCAAAATGTAGTCCAAATATCTCTACATGGAAAAAACATGCACCAGGAGCTTCAGCCGGAGTGATGCTACTGCAGACCAATCCATGACTCCTTCTGTAGAGTGTCCCTTATTTTTCAAATTTGAGAAAAGTTAAGCTCCCCAGGTCTCAAAACTTGCTATGAGGTCTACAAATAAGAAATGTCTTTTGGAAAAAATTTTAAAAAATTTTTTAGGACTCTCTCAAGTGCCCTAAAGGGCGTCAGTCAAGAATGTTAATTTCTGTTAGAGTGGATAGTCAATTCTAGGTGAAATTGACGAATTAACGTCTGTAGGCCAAGAATTTGGTTCGTTTGGTCGTATCTTTGATCGTTCAGCCGGAAAACCGACTTAAATGGGCGGAAAGCCGAGCCGCGGCCGCGCGCGGTTGACCGAGACGAGCTTTGCATCGCGCGGCCGGGCAGCGCCCGGCGACGCGCGTGGGTTGTGAGTGAGGAACATGTACACATACACAGCTAAACGTGGTGCGGGAAGCTACGATGGGGAGGCTGCAAAAAAAGAGGAAAGAAAGAAACGGGGCGTTTCGTAATATTAACTTTTCATGCTCAACTGGAAACAAAGAAAAATAAAAGGATAAATAAATAAATGAAAATAAAAGGCTAAACACAAATATTAGGTAGTTTCACAAAAGTCAAAGCTTATCAAAATTTTTCGAGGTCATTAGCTAGAATTTTTTTTTGATATTTTATTAACATTATCTGTGAAGTGAGACGATACTTGTAGTAAATCTTGAAAGTCTTGCTCACTTTCAACTTTCTTCTTAAATTTTTGCATCAATTTGACGGCTCTTTCAGTATGGTCCTTCACTACTTCATTTAATAAGGCTTGGTGGATGAATAAGGCGATTTACGCTCTGGAGATCTGGATGTTCAGAGATTAGTTTCCCCTAACAAAAGAGGAACTAAAAGGACTTCTTCAAGTTAATATTTTTTATTGTTATGGTGTATATCGTATAAAATGTCGGTTTTGTTCTCCCCATTTTGCTGGCGCTCCCAAAAATGACCTTCAGCTCATTGAAGACTTAGTAGACTTTAAAAACTTTGATCCTTTAGCAGCAGGCGAGCTCCACAGAAATTTTCAAATCACTAATGGTACTTGAGTGAAATGCTTGTCCCTCTGTCTCTTTTCGATAAGAGAATTTTGTCGGAGGAGAAGTTGCTGTGTGTTTAAAATTTAAAAAATAATGTAGGCCTCCCTGCCGCACCCAGACGTCGAGATGTTCTGGCTGAGGAATGCACCAGGCTGACTGATTTATTTACAATAAATAGCATGGCTTTATGTTGACATTTTTGGTATTTCACCGGCATTTTTAGATATAGACCCAGTATATTGGCCAGAAAGCCCGGAATACATACATATGTACCAAATTGTTTTAGTCCTTGAAGTAGTGAAGGGCCATACTGAAAGGAGCCGTCAAATTGATGCAAAAATTTAAGAAGAAAGTTGAAAGTGAGCAAGACTTTCAAGATTTACTACACGTATCGTCTCACTTCACAGACAATGTTCATAAAATAAAAGTAAAAAAATTCTAGCTAATGACTCCGAAAAATTTTGATAAGCTTTGACTTTTCTTAAACTACCTAATATTGCTATTGTTACCAAAACTATGTTACTACGCAAGTTGGACGATGGTACGCTTAACTAATTTTATGCCAAAGACGTTTTTAAACATTAAACAATTTATAGCAATTTTTAAGAGCCTTATCAGAATTTTAATTGCCCTCCCTCTGAAGAACAACATTGAGTCTCCATCTCGAAATAACAGCGAATCAATAACTCGTGTTTAGCCTTTTATTTTCATTTATTTATTTATCCTTTTATTTTTCTCTGTTTCCAGTTGAGCATAAAAAGTTAATATTACGAAACGCCCCGTTTCTTTCTTTCCTCTTTTTTTGCAGCCTCCTCATCGTAGCTTCCCGCACCACGTTTAGCTGTGTATGTGTACATGTTCCTCACTCACAACCCACGCGCGTCGCCGGCAAAGCTCGTCTCGGTCAACCGCGCGCGGCCGCGGCTCGGCTTTCCGCCCATTTAAGTCGGTTTTCCGGCTGAACGATCAAAGATACGACCAAACGGACCAAATTCTTGCCTTACAATCGTTAATTCGTCAATTTTACCTAGAATTGACTATCCACTCTACCAGAAATTAACATTTTCGAATGACGCCCTTTAGGGCGCTTGAGAGTCCTACAATTTTTTTTAAAATTTTTTCCAAAAGACATTCCTTATTTGTAGACCTCATAGCACGTTTGAGACCTGGGGAGCTTAACTTTTCTCAAATTTCAAAAATGAGGGACACCCTATCCTTCTGGTGTCCAATTTTCTCATTGGCAGATCAAGTCATGTTACCAATAGGCTGATTATGGAAATTGATAGACAAAGCAATTGACAAAGAAGAAAAAGAGAGAATGGCGCGATTCCATTGGTGGTAGCAGGTACTTAATAGACGAGCTAACAGCAAACCACAGAAGACTCTATGGTTAGTCCATCATTTTCTTCCAGTCTATAAAAACCACACGTTTCGAGAAATAGTTCCCCATTGTCTATCAATTTCATTAATCGACACACAACCACCAGAATCCCCTATCCTCCTGAGGCCCTTCTGTGGCCATTCCTCAGATCCTCTCCCATACCCTACAATCTGTGTGTTCTATCACCTCAGATTCGAGATTACCTGGACACTCAACCTAACCCCCACCAGGAATGCATATCCATTGCTCTCAGCATATCTCGGGTTCATTTTTACAGTTGCCTCGCTTCCTAATAGTGCTTTAAAATACTTTCCCTTCAGGTATGGAAAAAATCTCCTTGTATACTCTTTCAAGATTCTATGATTCCCGAGAGCATTGTTAAAGCCTTTCTACTTCCGAAGTTTCCACCCCTACAACATTGCCTGCTACAACGGTCCATTCTGTCAGTTTCCATTGTTCCGATGGGGCTAAACGGTCGTTGAAAATAATGGACCCTTGCACTACTGATTTTTTCGCAACAGCTGAGACAGTGAATTTTCATAGGCATGGTATAAATTGTTTCCACAGGAGAAGGTCACCATTTTTTTGAATATTTTGTTTCAAAAATTCTTAGCAATTTTTGAAAAAATGAGACTACCTTCGTTTCATTCGAAAAGAAATGGATTGACCTTTCAAATGAAACAAAGGTCAGATCGTGGGTTTCAAGTGAATACTCTTAAAACTTTTCAGATACTATAAATGGCTCTTAATGATTAGGTTGAAGAAAAATAACATACTTGATATATGCCTCTGAGTGCAAAAGGCGCTGTGGTCGCGGAGGAACGGTGATGAACATTGGTTCTGGGGGTTTCATAACTGCAACTGCTGAACCTGGAGATAAAAAATTAATCACTTGTATTCCTTCATTTTCACTTAAGACCAGACTTAGGAATATACTAATTGATATTTCTTAGCTTGCCAAAATTTGGGATGCTGCTGATTATTCCTTCCATCATTTATTCCTAAATTAAAAAAAGAAGGGATCAAGAAGGGGCTAAAGAGTACTGGTCAAGTTGAGTTTCAAAAACAGATGCTTCCAAGTTTTTCTTAGTGCAGGCGCAAATGTCATCCCGTGGCACTATTAGTGATAGAAGTGTGGGAGATGTCTTAATTTCTTCGTCTTGATGTCTGCAAACAGAATTCCGATGTTGGCTTTCTTAATTTTCAAAAAGTTACCCCCTATCCAAGATGGCGGTCAAAATCCCCCCCGTCGGGATGATATTTACAAAAACAACCCTATTGGCCGATTGAGGTATCGATTCCCATGTACTTTTGGTCGGAGAACTCAAATCCGCAGTCCAAAATTCACTTAGACCATTTTAGAGGTCCCAAATTTAAGATGGCGGACAAATTTGGGTCAAAAACGGGGTAAGGGGCAAATGCTCCTATAAGTAATAAAAATATTACGATGTTTTAAAAGTGGCAGCCTTTCAAGTGGCGGTCATCTCGATTGATGCCAGAAGTTGAACCTATCACCGACCTCCCTAGAGGGCGAGAGAGTCGTGATCCCTCACCAAAAATGTACGTAATTTAATTCAAGGAAGTTTTGTCTAAACCGTAAGTCAATATCTGCAACTGTTCTAGAGGTATTAACAAATACCCACACCTTGTGCACACCCTCCCCTCCCGCAGACAAAAGACACTCCCCCCCCCCCCCGCAACAACCAAGTGAGGATTTGTGAAAGATGTAGAAAAATCCACCACATATAGCTAAAACCTACTTCAAGATCCCGAAGGAATTTTGAGTGGGCAACACAGTTTCATTTACCTCCCTCTGAGACGAACCGTGTAGGGTGTTTAACCGTGAAGTTAAATTTACATTATGGGGGCACGGGAGGGCTCCAGGCCCCAAAATGGCAGAAAAAATGGTCGACGCTGAGGGCAAAAAATTTGTAATAATCAAGTTACTGATAGGTAACAATTCCCGTGTACTAGCGTCGGCCATTTTTGCCGCCATTTGGGGGCCTGGAGCCCTCCCATACCCCGATAATGTAAATTTAACTTCATTTTCGGATGTTACGACCCAAATAACCTACGGTTAAACACCCTACTCGGCACTTTGGAGTTTTTGCCCCTTACCCCGTTTTTGACCCAAATTTGTCCGCCATCTTGGATTGGGGAACCTCTAAAATGGTCTGAGTGAATTTTGGACTGCGGATTTGAGTTCTACAACCAAAAGTACATGGGAATCGATACCTTAGTCGGCCAATAGGGTTGTTTTTGTAAATATCATCCCCATGGGGGGGGATTTTGGCCGCCGTCTTGGATAGGGGGTGACTTTTTGAAAATTGAGAATGCCAACATCGGAATTCTGTGTAGACATCAAGACGAAGAGATTAAGACATCTCCTACACTTCTATCACTAATAGTGCCACGGGACTCTAAAAATGAACATTTGAGCCTGCACTATATTACCATTTTTTAAATTTTTTAAGTTCTAGAAGGCAAACGCACACATACACACTACTAAAACACACAAAACTATATTTTCAATTGCAAAAAAATGTGTTGGAACAATTTATATTCCACAATACATTTTAATAGCTTACATGGAAATCAAAAAGTTTAGAAAAAACAGCAATCTTAGGGCACTTAATTGAATAAAATATAACTTGACTCATTGCTGCAAAAACAGATAAAACACAGCTTTACAAGCATGAATAATTCTTCAGATTGATCCTATGAGAGAGCTGTAATCAAGCAAAAGATTTCATACCATTTTGAGAGAGCGGAGAAGGAGTGTTCCGGGAATGTTGAGAGAGTACACCGGATGCTGTGGCTATGTGAAAAAATTAGAAAAACAAGTCAATTTATGGCAAAACGCATCAACATGTATTTATTTTTTTCCTGAAAGTTGCCTTTCAGGAGGCAGACCGACGTAGGAAAATGAGAAGAATTTTAGCAATATTAGAAAAAGCTTGTTTTTGAGATTTTCGTTTTCTCTACTTTCCTCTCTTTGACTTTCCATGGTGGCAGTTGGTATCAATCTACCATTTCTTGAATGAGTGTTTCTCATCCAATTGATCTAAACATGATTGTTACGGCTGTGATATAGGTTTTTACCGGTTGATATCTTGCAATGGGTGGGGGTTCCCTCCATAACAAATCTGAGCCAAATCGGGGAGAGAGGACCTGGTTGTTTTGATGTAGAATACTATGTAGGTATAAACGAACGTATCAATGTATTCATGAGAATATCTCAATCTTCGAAATTCAGAAAATCAGCATATGTCATATGTATCTTCCTTAGGTCTATAATTCTTGTGTTTACCACACAAAGTGTAAAGTGTTTTAACTCTAAACACAGCTTTTACACTGAATTTTTACAATAAAAGGAAAACAATTAAATGTTTACATAATTAGAAGGATACTGCACAAAGAGGCGGTCACACTTGCCTAAGCTTCAGAAATCAAACACAAAAATCAAACTCATGCATAATGATTTGACACAAATTACATGATACTTGCTGGCAAAGCATAACCAAATTCATAGGTTTAAATTTTCCTCTCTCTCCCTCTACTCAAACTTATATTTATTTACTTCAGTTACTTACTTCCCTCCTATGTTACTTTTGATCAATGAAGTGTTACTTTTGATCGTTACTGTCCCATCTGCTACTGAAACTAGGCCCTTGATGAAAACGTCTCATTTTTTCAGGTATTGAAGAGCATGGTCTAGGACGCCCAAAAATGGTTGAGTTTTTTACTTAGCCCCCAAAAGGTCGTATGTAAAATAGTCTTTTGCATGTAGCTTTTGAGCGGTTAAAGATATTGAGGTAAATTTTCTATAAATTAAATACAATTGAAACAATATGATGACTTTCATTCATTCATTTACTTCATTTCCCTTCCAAAATTTTATGAAAAACTGGATGCAAAGTCTTAATTGAGACCTGTTACTTCTAAACTTAAGATTATTTTTTAATTTAAACGTCCAAGTAAAGACAGTGTATTAAAATGTAAAATAATAATGATTTAATGCTCATTAGCGAAAAAATCTTTCAACTCTCACTTAAAATCTTTGAGGCCAGGGTGTCAATTACTTGAAAAATGACGGATGAAAAGTTTCAAATTTTATAACTCAAGAGTAAAAGTTTATAGAGTCAACACCAAAAAGTTTACACTCTTTTAGATTGCAACAGAAGATTGTCTGGCATCATTTTTGCATAGAAGTAAATACAAAAGTCAAGATGGCGAATCTTCTGTCCCGGTCTAAAAGTTCTGGCTGCTTACTAAGCAAATTCCTTTATACCTTCAACTCTTTGTTTTCCTAGAGAGATAACTCCTCTCTATTTTGAACAATGATAGTCATCAACTTTGATGATGTTTGACAAAGATGAAAAGCATGCGTATAGAGTAATTCAATAAAGAGGCCATCGAAAAGAAACTTGGAGCCCAATACAAATCATACTTAAAAAAAGAACACTCACATGATCCATGCAGAGAAATAGATGGAGCTGCAGACACGGGAGGAACTTTTGGCCGTTTTGAAGCCACATAATTCCTAATAGAAGGCAAGAAAATAAAAATACGACTACAACAAACTAATAACACACAAAGCTAAATACTTACGATGCAGAAATAAGGATAAGATTAAGAAAGGGATACATTAAGAGACATTGATCAAAATGGAATATCAGATTCATCATCATTTCGTTAGTCATGAAAAAGATAATTCACTGCAAAAAGCAAATAAGAAATAAAGAAAAGAAAATTACAATAAATGTCCAAGGATATTAGTGATCTGAGAGTGAACAAGAGAAGAATTTGATTGGTTACTTTGATCAAGTTATTCCTGGTCAAGTCATGAGTGAAGTCCTTCATGTGAGCGCACTTTTCATGCACTGCAAAAATTTGCAGAAAATACGAGTTAAGGTCTTGAGGTAAGTCTGCAGGGGTCATTATTTTCCTGACTGGTGAAGGACTCAGAAAGAACTATTAACTTGCGTAATTATCTCCCATAACACTCTGACTACCAAAAAACTGATTTCTGTGCACATTTTTGCAACCTTTAGAGAGACTTTTAAATCACAAGCATACTTTTTGATATGCAAGCATCCATTTCTGTACAATGAGATTGGCTTCTCATTAATTTTTTTTTGTGCACACAACTTCAGCGCAACAAAAAACTGAATAACACCATCTTTATCACAGTCTTTCACATTGTTACCGGAACACCTTAAGATTTACACTTTTAATTTATTTACGTTTCGCCAACATTATGGAGGCACATTGCCTCCCTTCTTAGGGCATGGGATCTTAAAGGTGAAAATCTCATTGAAAAACTTACACACAAACACACCTCCCCCCCACACACACACACACACCCTCTCCCACACACACACACACACACACACACACACACACACACACACGCAACACACAAACAAACACCCTCACACACACACACACCCTCACACACACACACACACACACACACCCCTTCAAGAGCTACAAAAATCTCTGATTGTGAGATACCAATATGTATCACCTGCCAAAACTTCGACTTCCTATGCAAGCGGTTGCAGTGTATGAAAAATGGACATGTTTGGAGGAGAGAAAGGCATGGCAGTAATTATCATGTACAGGGTGTCCCAAAATTCCGTACCCTCCTCGTAACTTTTGAACGGTTAGAGATAAAAACACGAAACTTTGAGAATGTCTCTATCATAGAGGGGACCATCTTGTAGGGGGTCAAAATTTTTGTCCCCCCCCTTTTTTCTCAAATGGTAACCCCTATCTTGTGATACACCATTCGAAAGAGCATAAAAAACTAAGAATTTTGGCGCAAACCGAAGATCAATATCTTAATTTTTCACCGAGTTATGATAGGTCAAAGGTCAAATTTGACCTATTTTCAAACAATCATAAGTCCGGTTCAAATTATCGTAAAGAAAAAAATAACAGTAACACTTTTAAGTAAGAATCACAGAAATTACTTCAAACTAATTTTAAGTGGGGTTTCGGACCCCTAAATACGTCATTTTAAAGGTCATACGATTTTCCCGCGAAATGAGCCAATTTCTCCTTCCTTTGCGTCAACATTATCTTGATAAGTTCAAAATTAGTTCAACATTGCGTTTTCAAGTCCCCAAATTTCGGGCAAAGTTCAAAAAGCGAAATTCAAGGTGATTCAATTCAACCATTTAAATTTTGTTTTTCTTTTAAAAACTTGTTTCAAAATTTGAGGACTTGAAAACGCAATGTTGAACTAATTTTGAACTTTCCAAGATAATGTTGACGCAGAGTAAGGGGAAATTGGCTCATTTCGCGGGAAAATCGTATGACCTATAAAATGACGTATTTAGGGGTCCGAAACCTCCCTTAAAATTGGTTCGAAGTAATTTCTGTGATTCTTACTTAAAAGTGCTTACAATTTAGTAAATTTTCCCGTTTTATTTTTTTCTTTACGATAATTTGAACCGGAGTTATGATTTTTTGATAATAGGTCAAATTTGACCTTTGACCTATCATAACTCGGTCAAAAATTAAGATATTGATCTGCGGTTTGCGCCAAAACTCTTAGTTTTATATGCTCTTTCGAATGGTGAATCACAAGATTGAGGTTACCATTTGAAAAAAAAAAGTTGGGGGCCCCCGCGCCCCCCCCCCTGAGGGGGGGACAAAAATTTTCACCCCCCTGGAAGATGGTCCCCTTTGAGATAGAGACATTCCCAAAGTTTCGTGTTTCTATCTCTAACCGTTCAAAGGGGGGGTCGGACTTTTGGGACACCCTGTATAATCGTAACACTTCCTCTGTTCAAACTCGGTTATAGCTGTTCGCTCAAAAAAAAATACGAATGTTAGAATCTTTTGAAGTTTGAGTTCTGGAAAAAAATGTAATTTATCTTCCTCCATATACTATTCTGAGAATTATAAATAACGAGATGAAGGTTCGATATGAGAACAAACTTGTTATGTTGTTGAGTGAAAATAGGGATGCTTTTTTTGTGTGCAGTAAAACTGCTTTGAAGTTCCTAAAAGTCACAGAAAATTTAAAAGAAAAGGGTGATACGAATCCTACAATAAAACACAATTTTACAAACATGTTTTGGAATCTTGGGAACAAAATCCCATTGCTTGAATTAAATCGATGGTAAAATGTTGATGTGGGCAACTACAGCCAACAAAATATACCTATTCAAAAAACCTACAGGTTGATTGATGAAATTTATGGGCAAAGCAATAGACAAACAAGACAAAGGGAAACTGAACCTATTGGTGGACCACCGGAAACCGGTGGTTTCTATAGCGAAGGAGAGAAGTAAAAGACTAACTATCAACAATCGGACAGAGACACTATAGTTAGTCCACCATTGTAATCCTCAGTTGATAAGAACCACCCATTTCAACTAATAGGGTTTGTCTTCTTTGTCTATTGCTATGTCTATAAATTTCAACGATGAGCCCCCTACGAAAGTAAAAAGAAGAGGAGGGACACAATCAGAGAATGGTAAAACATGCACAAACATTATTGCACTTGAGCAAAATCTATGAGAAATTGAGAACGAACCGTTTGCACTATCGGCGTTACTCAGCGCTTGAGCGATGGAGGAGGGAGTTGAGGGAGTGGATGGAGCAGTGGGGGGAGTTTGGGTTGGAGGAAGCAGAGCAGGAAGTGCACGAGAGCTGGTTATGTAATTTCTGAAAATAAACCGAATAGTTTTACATCATCAAAAATGGAGGAAAGGTGAGAAGTTTTCAGTGATATCTTAAAATAAAATCAGTCGCAGGGAATTTTCTTTTCTTTTCCAGGATGATTTTGAGAGAGATGTATGTGGAACTCTTAAAATCTCCTTTTCGGCTACTTCTGAGTTTTGAAAGTGTAGGGACCAAGACTTTAAAACTTACAGGGGTGCAGAATATTCTGGGCTACCACCTCATCATGCAAGCCACGATCGGCTTTCCACAAAAGAGCGACGCCAAAAACGACCGTTTTTTGGCACAATTTGGGCCAGAAGGGATTTTTCTGAAACCGGGCCCAAACGATACCTTATGATACCCTAAAACTCTGGTAAAAATTTTAGCTTGAGTATACGCACGGTTTTTGAGAAATGAGGGGGTAAAGTTGCCAAATCGCCATCATTCTGGACAGCATTTTTACAGCAAAAATACGGGAAAAATGGACGAAAAAGTTACACCTTTGATAGGTTTTGGCTGTATATGTTCTCATTGAGCTCCCAAGCATTAAACTGTGTTCCTACGAGGTCTTTGGACTAAACTAAAAATTGAAGGGTTACGCGTCATATAGCGAGGAGAGCACTTCGGTCACACGGAGAGCTCATGGACTGTAGATTTTGAAAAAATGCCTTTAATTCTTTGAAAGTTGGCTCAAAAGCACCATCTGAGTCATTAATTTAAGTTCCTAAAGGATTCATGGACTAATCTCATAATTGCAGAGGGGCCGATAGGAAACGCTCAATTCTCTGATAAATGAGTCGGAGCGCTTCTAGATAATAGCAGCAAACGCTTTGAGTCAGGTGAAACCTAGGAATTCAAATGCATTATATAATGCATCATATACTATTTCCAAAATTACTCCGTAGGTAATCACAAAGCAAAATTAGACAACTAATTAGATACATACTCACATTACAAAGGTACTATGAATCATCAAGCTAACGCCAAGAACTGACACTTAGATCTTTATTAAAAACTAATATGTTTGTTGTTAATGAATTTAGAATCCCGGCAGATTCCATCTTTTGCGGTTCCTTTTTACGAGGTACTAAGCACAAATATAATGTAATAATTCGGCACAAATATGACTGATTTAATGCTTGTTAATGAAGGAGGTTATAATTGTTATAACGTGACGTTTGTTGACTTGTCTCTGGTTGACGTTTGTCGATGGCGCTCTCTATTGTTTTTGCTTTGAGTTACGGGGATACGCGGTAAGGAGATGGCGCTCCTGGCGGGCGTGTCGTGAATCTTCCAGCAGGTAGATTCGCCCGCCAAATTTAAAATTTGGGAGATGCTAAGCGAAAACCGTTTAGTTTTAAGACTATTTGAACATCGAATAGTCATTCTACCCATTCAAGTAGATATTTGATGGCTTTGGACCGTGCTTAAGGAGAGATTATAATATAAAATCGTATCTGAAGTATGATGTCAATGAATCTAATGGATCCTAATGAATCGTAGAAAAGCTAAGATTTTTACGGATCGCCATCTTTGACAGGAGACTTAGTTAATCAATTACATATTTAATTGAAGATGCCTCATAAAATCAACAAGTCGAGTCCGAATATATGAATTCACCACATATCGCGAAGACATTTACAATGAAGTTCAATGGTTTGAATAAAAATTTCATAACTATTATCCTGTGATCAAAATTCCAATCAAACTTTATGATTTTGTAAAATTGGCAGTATTTTTCTAAATACTCCAGTAAAAGTGTCTATGCCGGCGCGAAGCGCCGGCTCGAGCGAGAAAGTCCCGTGCGGTCCCCGCACCAATCCGCTAAGCGGATGGGGGGGCGAAGCCCCCCAAATGCCGGCGCGTAGCGCCGGTACGCGGCGCGAAGCGCCGCGCATAAATTGGCCGGAGGCCAATTTTTTTTTTTTTTTAAATTAAGTATTTAAAAATAACATAATAAATGGAAATTTCTTCAGTAAGTGGACTGCATTTACAAAAACGCATCGAGTCGCACTTTCCAAAAAATTGAGTTGAGAGTAGTTTTCAGCTCAACTAACTCCATGCCAAGAAATACATCATTTGAAGGTTCAGTGCACATTCTCTGTCAAAATTTAAAAATGCATGAGGACTGGATTTGCCGAAAAATATGTGCCAGATCCAACAATCTTAGCGATATGTTGCATAGCAAAAGAGCTTTGTTTGCATACCGATGGCTTAAGTCGAAAACCACGTACCTTGCTCACGGTGTTTCAAGATTTCCGCATCTAATTTAGGATTTTGAAGGGAAATGAGCCAATTTAATCGCTTTAAATTTTCACAAAATATTCTTCGAGCAGAAGTGAAATCACAGGTGTTTTCAAAAAAGTTAGTACGTTGATTAGTTTTCCAATAATAATAAAAAAAAAAAAAAAAAAAAAGTTTGACGAGAAGTATACGACGTCGCAAATTGAGATACATGTTTCCCGAGTTTAGCCGTCAATATACTGCCTCCATTAATATCAAATTATGTACATCTAGCTATTCCTCATAATTTACAAGTCTGAGAGTTATGTTAAAAATTTTGAAATCGATGCAGCTCAAACACAAAATGGTGTATTAAAATGGAAGAACATTTTTGCCTATACATATGCGTACAGAGCCCGCGAAGCGGGCCTGATGGCGCGAAGCGCCCTCAAGGGGGTTGGGCCGCGTAGTGGTCAGGGGGCAGGGCCTAGGGTGGACCGTTTTTTAACTTCTTTCGAAATTCCAAGACGGGTAGTGCTAAAAAGTTGCGTTTTGGCATAAAAATAACGCTCAATTTTTTTCAGAATTTTTGGATGATGTCCTGAGCCCGTCCCGACGCTATCTTTGTTGCCAAATTTTCGATTTTTTCGAGAAATTTTAAAGACTCTGTTTAAGGCCCGGGAAACGCGTAGAATTAATCAAAATGCAATTTAAAATACTTTAAATATCATTTAAAGTGATACAGGTCAGGATATGACACCCCCAACGCGCAGGGAGTGCCTTAGGGGACGCAATTATGGACCATGCCGTCTGTTCATAGACCAGAAGGAATTTGAAGGCGTCGAAAAATTCAAGTATCTCGGCAATACGTTGGATAGCGAAGCAAAAACAACGACATGAATTAAAGACAGGATACAGGCTGGAAACTGAGCCTATTATGCAAACCTGAAGATGCTAAAGAGCTAATTGTTGTCCAGGAGAACAAAGATGCAAATTTACAAAACGTTAATAAGACCAGTAGTAACGTATGGTGGTGAAACCTGAACCATGACAGAAGGGGATCAGCACATGCTGAGGCCATTTGAACGAAAAATTATTCGAAGAATTTATGGAGCGGTGAAAATCAATGAAGAATGGCAAATTAGAAGCAATTAAGAAATAGAAATGATCCTAGAAAATGAAGATTTCATAAGGTTTATCAAATCGCAAAGGATAAGCTGGCTTGCTCATGTACAAAGAATGGAAGAAGAGAGGATGCCGAAGAAGGTGCTGAAAGCTAAAATATTGTCAGCAAGAAAGAGAGGAAGACCTGGGCTTCGGTGGCTAGACGGAGTAGAGCAGGACCTGAAGAAAATGCAAATAAAAGGATGGAGTGAAAAAATCAAAGATAGAGGGATGTGGAGGGGAATCGTTATGGAGGCCAAAGCCCACCCAGGGCTGTAGCGCCGTTAGTAAGTAGGTAAGTAACGGTAAAGACATACATATGGGTGCCATCGAGAGTCAGGAACAACGTATCAGTTTTTCAAAGAAATTGAAAATGGAGTATTTTGGGGATCGGCCCGAACGTGAAAAAAAGCGCGTCATTTTTTAGCGTTCCAGCGCTTCGGAGGCGATAACTCGAATTTAAGTCGACAAAACCCTAGGATATTATACATTTTCTGAAAGCTCTTTTCAAGCTAAAAACGCTCGTTTAAACCGCGTTTTGGAATATTTAGTAGTTTTCGAATAAAAATTCGCGGAAATTTCGCGGATTTTCAACTTTAACCCCCTGCCACTTCCCCCCAAATTTTTTTGGGGACTTGAAACTTTGGGAAAACATAAGGCATTGTTAGATGAATGAATAGAGCAAGTTTCAATGGTATCCGACACGAGCGTGAAATGGCCAGTTTTGCACGTACCCCTTTAATTGGGCAATTTAATTTTTTACATGAAAACGGTTGTGCGGATTTTAGAGCAAATTTCAGTGAATTTTCTCCATAATACAAAGCAAATTCCTTAGAATTTTCAAAGAAATCTGCACAGACGTTCTCTCGTTAAAAATGTAATTTCCCCTTTAAATTTGGCAATAACTGATATGGCTTGGTTCCTGCAAAGTGTGGCACAATCAATCATTTACAAGCAACTTTAATGTACTTTCAGGGAGTTCTTCACTTTTTTGGCGGAAACCCAATACTTTTCTTCAAAAATGCAAAATTATCTTTAATAAAAAAGCCCACAAATGTTATAGTGGATTTCAGCATTTTGGGGCCGCTTCCCTCGTTACAGTCATGGGATCGTGCCGAACTTGTTGTGTTGTTTAGGTGGTATAACTCAAGAGATTCCTGTAAAAAAACTTATGTGGCAATTTATCCTGGGTTGATCCCCTATCTTCGCTATTTTGACCTGACTACAGACCCCTTAAAATCGCTAAAACTACATTATTCAAAACTAAAATCTTTTGAATGGAAAAAACTGCGAACTCGCTAACTCACTACGTGACGAACGCGGATCGGATACCTGTAACTGATCCCAGGCCTAAGGAAAGTATACAGACTACGGAGTTCGACCCATCACGATGGATGATAAAATTTCTTTGAAACTGTTGCCACTTTTAGAGAATGGATTGATAGGCTACGCTCAGTACTTGTGCATCCCTTCTAAAATTTATATCAGAAGAACACCGCTTCAGTTGGATAGCTTCTTGGTACGATCGTGCCTGTAGGTTTTTTCCTGAGATCAAAACTTTTGGGTTTTTGAAGCCGAATTCATAAGCAAACTCTTGATGCTGATGTAAAGCAGCCACTTCTTTTTTATCATAAATATGGGAGCGAATTCGGTCACCCAAGTAACGCTTTGTTTGACCCACAAAGGCAACCTTGCAATTTTTGCAGTTTACCTTGTAGACTACACCTGATCTTTTCTGATCTAGTTGCTTAGTAGTGGCAGGATTTTCAAAAACCGTCTGACAGGCTGAAGGTCAAAAGTCCTCCAACATTTCTTCAATTTTTGGCTGAGGCCCTTAACGTAAGGAGCTTTCACAACCTGGGTTAAATTTCTCTTCTGGTATTTCCGCTACTCCCTTTGCTCATGTAGCTGCACTTCGGCAAGGTTTTTTGAAAAGGTTTGAAGGTAAACAGTCACCTAAAAACAGATTTTTGGCTATCTTTATGCTTGCCGTCCGGTAACATTTGTCAGATAATATAATCGCCCGTTGAAACAAATTTTTGATTACGATCATTTTCCACTGGAAAGGTAGGCTCGCGAAAAAATTCAAGTATCTTCCGGAGGCAGATGGTTTTTGAAACCAACTAGTTTCCAATTCACTGCTGTGATGGTATGTTGTCATATCCAGGAAATTCAACTTTTCTTCTTCGAATTCCATTGTAAACTGAATACTAGGGTGGAAAGCATTAAAATGTTCTAACAAATGAATTGGTAGATTTCGCAGGACATATGCAAGGCAATCATCAACAAATAACATAAAATTCCATTTTGAATTTTAGTGTTGATAAAATTTGGCTCTCAACATATTCCATCCCTATGTTTGCAATGACTGCAGAGACTGGCACCCATAGCCACGTTTGAGACTTGTTGATATAAATCATTCCAGTATTGAACAAAGGTCCATTTCTAACAAACCTTGGGTGCGTAGGGAAGGTCCGGTTTGGAAAGCTTAGAAAATTTCTTAATTTTATCGTAGTTTTCTTCCACTGCTGTCATGACAAGGGTCAATGGGATGTTAATGTATATCAATTGAACATCAAAGGGGGCTAGTGTCACAGGTATTGAAATACCTGCAACTTGTTCATTTATTAAACTTATAAATTTTTAATGTATATTCAGTTCACTCATTAGGGATGGCTGGATTTCGTACACTTTCCTCTTTTTCAATCCTATCTCCCAGCCATCACCTTAAATCGCCCATTACTTTTATTACTGAACTTGCAGCTGATAGCTCCACTGATTATAGCCAGCCAATAGCGTGTAGACTTGTTGTCTCACCACCTGTGACGTCACCAAGTCTATAAAAGCTTGAGCTGCCCATTTCTCAAGGTCCTTTTACCATCTTGACCCGTAGTACTACGTTATGCCATTTCTCTCCGTAGGCATTATTTAATTCAAAGTGTGACTCTGTAATTCTCTATACAAATTCTTTAATACAACATTTTCGGTCCTTCAAACATTTTCGTTCAATTCTTGCTCTCCCACAACTCCGTTAACTTTTCCGCCACGGTTAGGATTATTTTAGATGTTTCAGTCCGTCTAAAACTCAACTAAATCCTTAACCGCGACAGCTAGCATGTAATTTTTTGGTACTTTTTAATGTTTTATAGAATTTCGTAAATAAAAAGAGTCGCGAATGAAAGATTTGGTAATTCCAACGACCTTTGAGAGTGGTTCAACCAAGAATTTTGACATTTTGTAAAAAGTCGAATTTACAAAGCTGACTATTGGTTTCGGTGGGTAACTCGGCTTATGGAGTTTAACAAGGCCGTAGATCTTTGGTGCCACTGCATCCTTTGTTGTACGTCATTCTTTGGTTTGTTTTGACACAACCCGACGCTTGAACCAATCATTTACCATTGCATTATTTTTCAGCTGTTGGGTGTTAGACAAATCCTTCTTGATTGTGATGCAAACATCATCTTCAAGGAGACTAATAATTTTGCTATACTACAATGCTGCTTTCATGATAATGCTCTTATTACTTTTATCCGCCTTCAATAGGACCAAATTCTAATTCAGATCCGCATTTTGCAGAAGTGCTAGTTCGGGTGCAAAGGGAACACAGTGGAAACACCAAAAGAGAAATTTAACCCAGGCGAGGTTGTAAAAGTTCCTTATGTTAAAGGCCTTAGCAAAAAGTTAAAAAAATGCTAGAGGACTTGTGACATTTGGCCCATTTGTGAAAATCCTGCCACTACCAAGCAACTTGAATCCCGTTTAAAAAGCCATGTCCCAGGCCATTGGCAGTCATTTGATTGCAGCACCATCCTCCAATACGGCTTAATTTGCAAATTCGCGCGAATCAAGTTGTTACGATCATCCGTGATGGCAAGCTAGTGTTTTGAATGAATACTTACGCGGATCTTGATCTTGAATGAAAACAATTTTGACCATTAAATTTTTTTCTGCCTTTCCATAGAATCAGGGCCTTTCAACATGTTCACAAGAGCATTCTGCACCCCCGAAAACTTACAATCTTTGATAAACAAAAAGATGTTTATCTCTGGGTTGTATATTGTACTTCATATCATCAACTGCACCTGTGACTACGATTTGACTTCATTCAAAAATTCTAATAATTTTCATTAGCCTAATTAGAAACCAGGAAACCATTTAATTTTTCATTCTTTTCAGAACACTAAAACTTGCGCCATCATTGGCTTGTGCAATAAAATTACCCTTTTCCAGCTGATCTAGCGGTAAGTAAGTAAGAAAGTAAGTAAGGCCGGGCTGACCAGCGAGGCGCCCTCAGAGGCCAAGGCACCTGGCAACTGCCGTCGTGCACCCGGAAGTTGGACCGTGCTCCTTAACCTCAAATCATTGACACATTGTGTATCCTCTATATTCCCGCAAGGCTCAGCGGCTGTCTGATAGCCAACGGTAGGTCTTATCAAAGACTGTGGCAAACGCCGCAGAGCATGGATTTTCGGAGCACGGCCATGCCTCCACCGAGTTGGACTGTGTTGTTAAGATCTCCACTGATAGGTAGCGCTGGCAGTCGCGCACGCTACCAGTGATCACCGATTTTTCTCAACCCAGTCCAACAGTGCAGACAGATTACTTACTAGGTGACTATATCCCTCCCACACCCTGTTACTTCGAAGGGTCAAGGTATTGGAGTGGCATAGTCATCCACGGTCACAATGACTGATATTTGAGTGTCCTCAAATATCAGTTAACACTCAAATATCAGTCACCTCCGGAGATTGAACTCCGGACCTCAGTGTTGGCAGGGAACTGCCTTGACCACTACACCACCTAGGTTGACTTTGATCTAGTGATTATATTTAAACACTGAAGAATTATTAGCACTTCCCTTTAGACTAATAGAGCTCTAGAGCTTTTATAACGATATTGACTGTTTACTTTTAGTTTACAAGTAACTGTGTTGCTAGCGCCCAATCATGATCAGAAGAGTGACAACACCGCTGTACATACCTAAATACCTAAATTGGTCAACTATGATCAACAAAAACGTAAACAAGTGTCAGCATATCTGACAAGTGTTCTGCCAGTGAGACCCTGGACGAGGCTTTAAATTAACCACACAAAATAAATCGCTAAGAAATAGCTGTGTCTTTCGAGAAAATATACGAATCATTGCAGGAAAAGAACAACAATAATGATAACTTGATTCAGAGACCATTTTTAAGTTAGTAATAAAGGGAAGAACATACTTGCTACGATCTGCTGCAGGAACGAGTTTCCCAGGATTCTTCTGAATATGCACTTCCTTCACATGCCGTGCTAACCTTTGTAAGCTGGGGAAAGGCGTGACAGATTTTTTTAATCTCTGACAGCCTCTCCATTGACATTGATATTCTTGCTCTGGAATTAACAGGTAATCATTTCATTAATCAACAGAATGATTGGACCTACTGGTGGATTCACAGAGGTGTAGATTCTTCTACGTATCCACATTTTTATGACCTCTGGCTTTCAATTGTATTTGCCTCCGATTTCAAAAGTAATAACTCCTTTTTTTTTCTTTTTGAATTCCCTGCCTAATATTCGGCTAATAACATTTCACATGCCTCATCAGGGTTTAGTGCATATAGTATTTATTAAAAAGCTCATCTAATGGGAAAAAGTCAAAGAAATACAGAAATTTTCCAAAAGCTTGAAAAAACTAGAAATTGGTTAAGGGCCCTAGAAAGAGGGAGGGCTTATCAGTTGAGGGCACCAAGAAATAGAAAAGATGCAAAAAGACACTGATTGTGAAAACATGTTGAAAATGTCACTATTTGGTTCAAACGCTCTTAAAGTTCGCAGACTCATCCTCAACTTTTCAGTGTTTTTCAGTCAGCAAGGAAAATGTGGAGAGGTTTTACAGTTTCAGGTTGAAATCTGTGAAGACATCTTGATATCAATCAATAGAAGAAGACTTGATCTTCAAAATGAAACCAAGAACAAATTTCTGGCTTGCTTCGTTTTGAAATGACAGCACCAGTCCCTTTTACGTTTGAGACACCCTGTGTATACTGCAGAATCGTGCCAGAGGTAGCAAGTCAAGTGAAAGCTAGTGATTACATGAATGTCTAATTGAATTTGAAGTATGAAGTATTCTATGTACTTTGTGTTACAGAGATAAAAATATTGAATAATTGTCACTGTTACTTGCAATTTTAATTTAATTTTAACATCTATTTTTACTTTCAAATGTACATAATCGTGTTTTTAATAGGATGGAACTCTCTCGATTGAAGTGATCTTAATTTTAATAATGTCTTCTGGATGTGGAAAAAAGGGCTTTCAAAATTTGAATATAATCAACCAGAATAATTTTTTTCTTTAAAAAAAAGAAATATAGAGGATTTCACCTATTCAACAACACCAAATGAAGCAAAAACTGATCAGAGGACTATGTTATCAATATTTCTAGATGTACACTACTATTTCTGGTGCTGCAAAAATTCTTTTAGATGAAACACTAGTCTTTCTTTGGAGGAAATTTTCAAATTTCAAAATCTTACAGCTTAAGAATGAGAAAAAAATTCTATCGGAAAAAGGAGGGATAGCACTGCTTTGGCATGCTTTAAAGCCCCATGAAACAACGAAAACAGCTATTATGAGAAAAAAAAAATTTTTATCTAAAGAAATAACCAGGGGACAACAAATAAGAGGAGGATCAAAGAATATTGGAGACAAGAAAAATTCAAAAAGTACCTGTAGGTGGAATAGCAGCGAAAAATGTTGCAATGTGTCCATTGCCTTCTTGAACAGCATGCTCTATGCAATCCTGTGAGAAGGAGAGATAGAGATTAAAGCCAAATAACAAAGATTATCTTAAATTTAATTGTGGTGAGTAATAAAAGTCACAGAATTTTACCAGAGGAAAGATATTCGACCCATTAGCAAAGTAAGTCAGATTTAATTGCCTGCCACGCTGAAGAATGTAATTATGACCAAACACTTTGAATAACCTATTTGCATACACTTGGTCTCCACAGGGTCTTTTCATAAAATTTGACACAGAATTAAATTGCGGAGAGAAACTGCCACAATATTTTTTGCAGGTACTGTCTTCATGTGTTGGGGCTATCTTGTTCTTGAGAAAATTTGGCATCAGAAGATGAATTAATGAATATCATTGGTCATCATGGAGCCTTACAAAGACCCTCCTTGGTACTGCAATTAATATTGACTTCATCTATACTAGTTGCAACTTCATAAATGCACCTTCATGCTGCAAGAAATCGTGAAAAAACATCCCATAAAAACAAGACCATACGTGAACAAATTAACTTGTCAGCATTATCCCAAATCTAGTGTCCAAAGACGAGATGATTTGGACGGTTGCTAGGCTACGGTTACAGTTGAATTTTAATGACTTTCAAAAAGGCAGAGCCATGAGAATCTTCCTACAGATCTTATATCGCCTAGCAATCCGACGAGTTCACTTTTCTGCAAACTTTTCTGCAAAGCAGTGTGCCAGTGATTAAGAATCAGCTCATCTTTGTGGGCAAATAAGATGAAGAAACGTTCAGATCACTTTCTTCAGCATCTTTTTTCAAAAAAAAAAATGGAATAAACATCAGAAAGTGGGAATTATGTTTACACAACAGCTTACAAAGAATTGAAGACAAAATTGATAAGATTTAGGAGTTTTAAAAATTGAACGAGCATTAATAAGAATAATAATAAAAAAACATAAAAGGAACAATTCCTATTTAGACAAATCTTCCTAGAAATTATTTTAATTTTTATTATTATAATATTTTTGGTTCTTTTATACAACATTTTCCAGCTATGAATATGTTTACCTTTGCATCTCAATCATTCTTCAACTAAACAAAGAACAGAGATAAAAAGTAGTAATGACCTGCATGTCTTCGAATTGATGATCACAATTATCCCATAGGCATTCCCAAATGAGATCTGGATGGTGTCCGAGATGATTAACAGGGGTATTGGCTGCAGGGCTTCCAGCGACAATGTCAACAGTCTGCCCAGCAGCAGCTGCACGGGCAACGGTCACTTCATTCATTCTTGCTGCTTTCTCCTCCCATGTCATTTTAACATTGCTTGGTAGACTTCGCCACTGGGAATTGAATAAGAATAAGACAAATTGAAGAGCACTTGAAAATGAGTGAACGATTTAATGAAGGGCAATTATTTTTTATGCGGACATTATGTTCTATGCCTTAAACTGTCCATAAGTTGGTCTACTCGGCCCAAAAAATTCAAAATTTTTTGAAGACTGGGTAATGTACCCTACTCTCTATCATGCTGCAAATTTTTTATGAAAAAGAATGTACACAATGCAAGATACAGGTCAAAGAAGGCTGTTACGGACGTTGTAAAAGAGACCTCTCATTTTTGAGAACCTTACTTTGATTTTAATTTTTATAGGAACTATTTACTTCATCTAAATTTCCGTTGGCACTGATAAGGTCTCATTGAGTCTACTATTCAATCAACAATCCATCTCAAATAAAGTTTACATGATTTTGTTGATTAGTTGCCATAAAAACAGCAGAATCAGAACGTATTTGGAAACTTCAGTTTTGATGTTAAACAACATCAAAAAAGTGTAATGTCCGCAACGCTTTTATTATTTGCCATTTTTATGGTGTTACGGACCAAGTGTTGGTGTTGCTGTTACAAGGTTAGGTTGCAGACATTAAACCTATAGAATTTTGTGCCTAGACAGGTAGTAACTCCCGTAGTTTATGAAGTAATTGAGTGCATTGGGGTGCAATTTGGGTTAGCAGCATGAGGCAGGAAAGTCGATTGTCATAACAGTATATGAATTTCACCTTAAATTGAATGCAAATAGCTGTGAGAGACTTTTTTGAAGTAAATATCTAAGGTGACAGTAGCGCCGAGTTTTTATCTTTAAAATACAACTTTAAAATAAATTTAAACACAAATTATACGTGAAAATGAACAGAACTGCTAAAGTATGAGATGTCACATTTGTCTTTGGTATAAAAATGCACCTTTTAAAGAAAATACAGGGTGTCCCAGTCAATCCACTTAAGGCTATTTTTCTATTTATTTTTGGTCGCACGAAGTCAAGGATGGAAGAAGTGAAAGGGAAATTGACCCCAAGGAATCTGAATTTCATCCTCCCGAAGCCCCCCCCCCCGCCCCCTTTGTAGGTAAAATTGGGATCCCTACTTCAAAAGTGGGGGTGCCAGTGCCCGTCAAAATTTTGAAATTATTCCAATAAACTCAGGCAGAACAAATAATTTTAAACTAAACCATCACCAAAAAATCCAAAATTGGCCAAGTGCGCTGCCCAGAAAATTTCCTCCAAGTTTTCCACCGCACACGAAAACATTTCATAATAACAGGTGGAAAAAATAACATAAAAGTGATTTTCCCGGGCATCGATGGATAGCAGGAATGTGTGGCATTCCCAATGTAGGCCCCTACAAGTGCACCATAATAACTCTGTTATAGCAGGAGCCGCAGGATAGACACAATAACCGTGCTGCTTGTATCAAAGACAGGCTAAAAGAAATTACGATTAATAAGTAAATTGGAACATAAAAAGGACAAATTCATCAAATATTTAAGAAAACTAAAAGAAACGTTTTAACGAAATTAAATTTAAAATTGAATACAGAAAATAAAGAGAACCATAGGGCTGCTACTGTGTACCTGAATTTATAATAGGAGCCTATCAAACAAGTCCCCGAAGTTGGAGAAAAAAAATCGTCTTTCTAACACTGTGGCAATGTTTATAAATAAATATTGATGAAAAGTGAAAAATAAGAGTAATTTTTAGTGCTTTTTTCATTTTTGACCTCCAAAAAAGAGTAAACGCATTTTACGGGGGGTTTAGGGGGGTATCGAACTTAAAAGTAGCCAAAGTTAATATTTCCAGCGACAAAAATTGTTTTTTGATGACACCAATAGATTTAGCGTTGAAAAATATTGAGATACTGTGTCTTGCGTTTTTTCGCTATGACTCATCGTTTTCGAGATAATAGGGGCTAAATGGATCACGGGTGGGCGTGGAGAGGGTGAGGGGTGGGTGGCCCCTAGGAAAAGCGTTTTGGAAAAAAAGTTGTACCACAAAAACGTCTTTTTTTAACCTACAGAATCGACTCCTTAAATATTCGTGCTTAATCCTGGAACACCCTGTAGATTTGCTTCAGCTGTAACAGTTTTGAGAAATAAAAAAGGGAAACTTACTTTTGGGGATACCCTTGCAATTTTTCATTTTTTTCTCTTTTTTTTCAATTCGATTCCATTCTATTCAATTCAAGATAAAACAACCAAATTTGCCCAGTCCCTCTGTTTACCCACATTTCTCACAACTCAGCTTCAACCATATGGACTTAAAAACTCCTCCACTTAAGGTAACCTACTTTATTAATTCGAATGGAAAAATATGTCTACACTGATACTCACTTCATTTCCAACAATTCGACTGACTTCACCGAAAGAGCGGTCTGGGTTATTTTGAGAGACTGTCCTCCGAATATCACTGGAGTAGAGAATGTAACCGGTAACAAGTTTTGATTTTTGGGCTTTCTGTAAATTAATTTTTGAAAGAAATTAGTAACTGATAAAATGTTACAGAAATAAAGCTGATGTGTATGAATCAGAAAATCCTGAGGAGCTTACAAATGAGCTGAAGGCTAATTTTCTATTAAAAAAAAATTCAATTAAAACTTCGTGGTCAGAGTGTCTATAGATTTACAGGAAAAAAAAAAAAAAAAAAAAATCGTGATCTATTACTGAATTCTCCCTGACCATTGTGTCAATATTGCTGTAGTCAGAGAAGACATTTATTGAGTGAACTAATAATTAAAGAGGCCAGTTTGCCATTAACTGAATGTTGATGGATTGGTCAACTTGAACCCAATCTACCCAAACCGGGCTATGATATACGATACTGCGGTCAATAATCTTACTACCAAACATACTAAAATTACTTAACTTGTGCCAACCTTAGGGTGTACCTTATTTTTGAGTTTTGCCAAAATCAAGTTGGTCAACCCCCAAAAAGTTTCTATGTAGCCTCTAAATGAATCCCCTAAAAGGAAAAAAATTTAACGTGTGCTTCAAGGGGCCTAAAGGGCCTAAATCCAAAATTCAAAAATTTTGGCAAGCAACATATCAATTCTGAGGGAAAATTGTAAGTTACGGTCCTCAGGGGGAAAATTCTGTCCAAATACCAGATCAGAGGTTTTCCACGCACTGCCATTGACATTCATGTGCAAAAACTTCACATGATAGAAAAACACTTGGAGCACTTCCCGAATTTAGGGCAATTTTCTTTCATCAAATTTTTCTCCAACTTTTCCAATTAAAGAGGTTGTTCCAAAAACGCCGATTTTGCCCCCCCCCCCTGGATTTGGCCCAAACTTTGCTCAGATGTTGAACTAAGTGTCCCCGATGCTTGGGCAAAGTTTCATCCCCCTCGGATAATTAGGGGGGAGGGGGCAGGGGGCAAAGTTGCAATTTATTTAAAACTTTGAAAATCGATATCTCGCGAACGGTTTGAGTGTAAGTGTTGCGGTTTGCGCTTAAAAAACGTTAAAAAATATTCTCTACAAGAATATTAATGCTGTTTGCAAGGTTGCGTAATTTATCGCGGTCATAAATCGATTTTTTCGATTTTGAAGGTTTGACATTTTTTCGTTTTTCGTCTCTCCTCTCCAGGCGATCGTTGCTACGTGAATAAAAACCTGTTGAGGTGATTCTCCATGAAATTCTGCATCTACCACACTTTGTTTGACCTTGGGGAAACGATACGTTCGTGAGATACAGCGATTTTTCTGCGCGTTCCCGGTTACGCGCGGGCGGCATATCGGCGGCGCTCCATCCCGCGCGGGCAAGGCAGAGGTTGTTTCACCGCTAGGGCCTTATATTCATGCTGTAGGGTGTAATTATCGATATTTTCTCCTCCCCCCACCCTTCCCTTCCAATAAATATTTTTTTAATACTTCGTTATACAGGGTATGCCAGACCACCCGTAACAGGTCTTTTTCTCGGTTGGTTGAGGTAGTACGAAGTGGGGGACCGCGGGGTTGAATATGGAATTGACCCCAAGGAATCTGAATTTCACGGTCCCGAAACCCCCCCCCCCCCCCCCCCCCCNCCCGCCCGCCTTGGGAGGTAAAGAGGTAAAGAGGGGGTCACGATCCCAAAAGTCGGGAGACGTTGTGCCTCCCCCTTTTACCCCCCCAGGGTGGCTAGGGGGGCCTCGGGACCATGAAAATCGGATTCTACGATAATAGTATATTTCGGATTACCAGGGAAATCATCTTTTTCCGGAGAATCTACGTCAATTTGCGCCCAAAAATGATCTCTTCAAGACGGGGACATCGGCCCCCTCCATAATTTACCTTTGGTCAAAATTTGACGTAGATTCTCCGGAAAGAGATGATTTCCCCGGTAATCGACCGCAAGGAATTCGATTTTCATGGTCCTGAGGCCCTCCTAGCCACCCTCGGGGGGTAAAAGGGGGAGGCACAACGTCTCCCGACTTTTGGGATCGTGACCCCCTCTTTACCTCTTTACCTCCCAAGGGGGGCGGGGGGGGGCGGGTTCGGGACCGTGAAATTCGGATTCCTTGGGGTCAATTCCAATATTCAACCCTGCGGTCCCCCACTTCGTACTACCTCAACCAACCGAGAAAAAGACCTGTTACGGATGGTCTGGCATACCCTGTATAACGAAGTATTAAAAAAATATTTATTGAAAGGGAAGGGTGGGGGGAGGAGAAAATATCGATAATTACAGCCTACAGCATGAATATAAGGCTCTAGCAGTGAAACAACCTCTGCCTTGCCCGCGCGGGATGGAGCGCCGCCGATATGCCGCACAGTGGAGTATTATACCCGAAAAGCTGGCGGAAAGTCCAAAAAAAAATGTGGTAAAAGCTTGGTAAAACAGGTAAATAATGATTCTCTGATATCTACTGCATGACATTGTGACAACAGAATCCGCTTATCACTACTGGATGGTCGAGGAAAAAAGGGTAAACCCAGCGGTTTCGCGCGCATCTTAGCTCTAGTTCAGTATTGTTTACGTTCAGCTTTTCAATCAAAGTGTGTATGCAGTGACAGGTACAAGCTACATCTGCAGGCTTATTGGCAGCCATTATTTATGGTAAGTAGTCTCTTTTTACATATATATTACTATAATTAGAAATTTGATTGTCTGGCATGTATATACTGTTGTCAAATCGTTCAGTAAAATGGGCATTTTCCATGAAGGTGCTTAAATAAGATAGTTTCTGAATATGTGCCAGGCTGTGTCGGGCTGAAAATGAAGGAATTTCGTAAACTAGAACCCAACCGCAAGATTCTCCCGCAAAAATGTTTTACACAAATTCACCCTTTGAATTTCTGCGAATTTTTGAAATTGAGCTTTGTTTTCAAGCAAAAATCACGTACTTCCGAATTTTGGATCCTATATATTTTTCAGGTCAATAATGTGAGCCTAAGCACTAAATGGAAGTCTCATGACACTCCTGGAGTTCTTTGTATGTGATTCACACAGATTTGATATGCGACGTTGCCAAATTTACGTCAATTTTTATAGATGGAGCCACTATATTACGCTGGAAAATTCCTAAACAAAGTAGTTTCTGAATATGTGCCGGGCTGTGTCGGGCTAAAAATGAAGGATTTTCGTAAACTAAAACCCAACCGCAAGATTTTCCCGCAAAAATTTTTTACCCATATTCACCCTTTGAATTTCTGCGAATTTTTGAAATTGAGCTTTGTTTTCAAGCAAAAATCACGTACTTCCGAATTTTGGATCCTATATATTTTTCAGGTCAATAATGTGAGCCTAAGCACTAAATGGAAGTCTCATGACACTCCTGGAGTTCTTTGTATGTGATTCACACAGATTTGATATGCGACGTTGCCAAATTTACGTCAATTTTCATAGATGGAGCCACTATATTACGCTGGAAAATTCCTAAACAAAGTAGTTTCTGAATATGTGCCGGGCTGTGTCGGGCTAAAAATGAAGGATTTTCGTAAACTAAAACCCTACCGCAAGATTTTCCCGCAAAAATTTTTTACCCATATTCACCCTTTGAATTTCTGCGAATTTTTGAAATTGAGCTTTGTTTTCAAGCAATAATCACGTACTTCCGAATTTTGGATCCTATATATTTTTCTGGTAAATAATGTGAGCTTCAGCATTAAATGGAAGTCTTGTGACACTTCTGGAGTGGGGAAGGGTTTCTGAAGGGTTCATAGTATCAGTAAGGATCCATATTTAGTCCAAAAAGAGCCTAAATTACAGACAAATTTTTCAATTTAGTACAGTGGCACACTCTAAAAATTTACGTAGAATTGGCAACGTCGCAAATCAAATCTATGTGAATCACATACAAAGAACTCCAGAAGTGTCAAAAGACTTCCATTTAATGTTGAGGCTCACATTATTTACCGGAAAAATATGTAGGATCCAAAATTCGGAAGTACGTGATTATTGCTTGAAAACAAAGCTCATTTTAAAAAATTCGCAGAAATTCAAAGGGTGAATTTGGGTAAAACATTTTTGCGGGAAAATCTTGCGGTTGGGTTTTAGTTTACAAAAATCCTTCATTTTCAGCCCGACACAGCCCGGCACATATTCAGAAACTATCTTATTTAAGCATCTTCATGGAAAATGCCCATTTTACTGAACGATTTGACAACAGCATATACATGCCAGACAATCAAATTTCTAATTATAGTAATATATATGTAAAAAAGAGACTACTTACCATAAATAATGGCTGCCAATAAGCCTGCAGATGTAGCTTGTACCTGTCACTGCATACACACTTTGATTGAAAAGCTGAACGTAAACAATACTGAACTAGAGCTAAGATGCGCGCGAAACCGCTGGGTTTACCCTTTTTTCCTCGACCATCCAGTAGTGATAAGCGGATTCTGTTGTCACAATGTCATGCAGTAGATATCAGAGAATCATTATTTACCTGTTTTACCAAGCTTTTACCACATTTTTTTTTGGACTTTCCGCCAGCTTTTCGAGTATAATACTCCACTGTGTGCCGCCCGCGCGTAACCGGGAACGCGCAGAAAAATCGCTGTATCTCACGAACGTATCGTTTCCCCAAGGTCAAACAAAGTGTGGTAGATGCAGAATTTCATGGAGAATAACCTCAACAGGTCCTAATTCACGTAGCAACGATCGCTGGAGAGGAGAGACAAAAACGAAAAAATGTCGAACCTTCAAAATCGAAAAAATCGATTTATGACCGCGATAAATTATGCAACCTTGCAAACAGCATTAATGTTCTTGTAGAGAATATTTTTTACCGTTTTTTAGCGCAAACCGCAACACTTACACTCAAACCGTTCGCGAGATATCGATTTTTAAAGTTTTAAAAAAATTGCAACTTTGCCCCCTGCCCCCTAATTATCTGAGGGGGCTGAAATTTTGCCCAAGCATCGGGGACACTTAGTACAACATCTGAGCAAAGTTAGGGCCAAATCCAGGGGGGGGGACCCAAAATCGGCTTTTGTGGAACAACCTCTTTACACTAATCGCATTTGATCGCTTAAAGGGCTTACTATTTGACAACATTGCACATATCTTTTTAATTTGTCAAATACCAGTGGTTTCCGGTGCCTCCGGTGGGTGAGAATTTTCTGTTTTGATGATCAACAGGTATGTTGACAATAGCAGCTTTTATTTCTCGGAGATTTTCAGGGCTGTTCAGTAGTTACGGCAAATTTTCCCCACTTATGCTCCTAATCGTACAAACTACATATGTATTCAGACATAGAAAATTTCATGAAATTTATTCGAATGAAATTTCACGAAATTTCATAATATATATTGAAACTTCTGGGGATACATTCAGGAGGCTAAGAAACGCCTAGAAACAGTGATTCTAAATTTTGAAATTTTTTACCCCAAGCCATAAAACATTCGCGCGTTGCAAATGTATTCGTTTAGTTTAGAGGTTAGGTTGGGGTTTTTCTCTCTAAACTCCCTTTTTTGCCCCCTCTTGGGGTTTCACGTGAAATTTCAAAACGTGAAATTTCACCTTCCATCTCTGTATGTATTTGTCACTCTTTTCATCACTTCCTTGTATGGCTCATATTTCCTCATCTATATTGAAAAAGTACAGTGCATTATCATTATGGATAGAAAATGTGGATGGATTTCCACCAGATATCCCCCTCCCACCCCACCGTCCGTTCCTCTACGCCGGTGTAATGCGGCGATGCACAACCCGCCCTGCGCGCGCGCTCAGCGGCCGACCGGCCGCAGCGCGCCCCGCCGGCCCATAGCCTCACGTCGTCATTGGGCCGTTTGTGACCTTACGCTTCAAGATACACCAGAACAGACAGAATTTTCCCCCAAAGAACCGTAACTTGCAATTTTCCTTCAGAATTGATATGTCGCTTGCCAAAATTTTTGAATTTTGGACTTAGGCCCTATGAGGCACGGGTTAAATTTTTTTCCTTTTAGGGGATTCATTTAGAGACTATATAGAAACGTTTTAGGGGTTGACCAACTTAATTTTCGCAAAAATCAAAAATAAGGTACACCCTAGCCCACCTATCAAGTTTTCCAAACCTGCAGACACTTTGGTGAAACACTACTTTATGTAAGTATAAATCATTTTAAAAAACAAAAGGAAAAACTTCGAACCTTATCTTTTCATACAGGAAAATACATCAATAGATGTGATATTATGTAATACTGAATCAAGGTTGCAAATCACAGAGTTTTTTAGATATTACATTTGTAATCGATTAATTATAGTAGCAACTTCGAATTTTTGAACCATTTTTCATTAACAATGTTTTTTGATGACTTTAACGAAATATAAAGAGAAAAGGTTCATAATCTCCTTACGTAATAATCTCGTAATTGTGTCTCTTGGTATGTAATCTTGTTATCAATCTGCCAACTTGAGCTTAAACAGCTGAAGAAAATTTATAACTTTATATGCTGTAACTTGTCATTGACTGTCTGAAATTTAAAATGTTTGTCATTGATTGGTTAGAGGAAAAAAGAGCATATATTAAGTTATGTACCAAAGGGAAAGACTTGCAAATGACCTTTTTAGTTGAGATAGGAGTCGATGTTGGTCCAGGAGTGACAGGAGCCGGTGTATCAACTGATCCAACAGATGGAGGACCTCCATCCAATGAATCTTCCATCATCAGATCCGGTTCTGATTTTGGTTGGACTAATGGTGATGGTGAATTCTGAAAAATCAAGCATCATTTATTATTACGGAGAAAGATTTTAGGAGTCATATAGCTCCATTGAAACCAACACTGGAGCAAAACCAGCGGCTTTGTAGGTTGTCTGGAAGAATACACAAGACCTGGCCAATTCCATCGGCTGTATGATGAATTGTGACACTCATTCATTACTTAAAAAGTCAAGTTTAAAGGATCGGTCTTATCAGTATTTTTGTCTTATGAGGGGAGCCCAGGCGCTAGCTTAGGCACGGTGCGTTTTAAACAATTTTAATGCGGTCAACATACCACCCGCGATTTTTTTGCGGAAATGTCAACTAGAAGGCCTACTGATTGAGGAACAACAAACCGCGAAATCTGTGATGGGGCCGTTTTTGAGAAAATGCGATTTTTCGCTTTTTTGGCGGGAATTTCGGGTCAAGGCACTGGAAAAGTCAAGTTAGGCTGTTTTTGTAGTTCGTAAATGCATATCCTATACATTTTGAGTCAATCAAGTGCCAGTAGATAGCTACTCGTGCATATTGCCCAAAATTCATATCCTCAAATCCACCACTTTTGGGTTTTTGGGGGGTTAGTCAAGGAGAAATCCGAAAAAAAGAGGGTTAACCCGGAACAAATTGCTTAACAAACTTTTCCTACGTAAACTTCTTCAGTAGGTCCTATTGAACAACATACCAAAAGTTTACCACGGTTCGCTCCCGGAACACCCCCCCAAATTGCCTAAATTTCAAAATGGCGGCCATAATAAGGCCTCTGGGAGTTCGATTTTTTTAAAAATACGCATACAGTGTCATGTGAGGTGTCAATTCCTATGTAATTTTGGTCGTAGATTTCAAATATGAAGTAAAAAAAGTCCCTTGATCAAAAGGGGGTACCCCAAATCCAAGATGGCAGCCAATTTTGAAAGTCAAGAGGGTGGATTTTTAAAAAGTTCGCGTGATAAGGCAAGTGAGGTATCATTTCTTATGTAATTTTGGTCGTAGATTTCATTTATGAAGTCATAAAAGCCCTCAAGTCAAAGGGATTGCTCCAAATGCAAAGATGGCGGCCAGCTTTGAAAGGCAGGAGGGTGAATTTTTGAAATGTTTACGTGACATCCCTAGTAAAATAGAATCAACCTGACGTTTCATAAACTACCCTGAGTCAGACTAATTCAGGCTGATATCAATCTGACTCAGGGTAGTTTATGAAACATACCCTGACGTCAGGTTGATTCTATTTTACTAGGGATGTCACGTAAACATTTCAAAAATTCACCCTCCTGCCTTTCAAAGCTGGCCGCCATCTTTGCATTTGGAGCAATCCCTTTGACTTGAGGGCTTTTATGACTTCATAAATGAAATCTACGACCAAAATTACATAAGAAATGATACCTCACTTGCCTTATCACGCGAACTTTTTAAAAATCCACCCTCTTGACTTTCAAAATTGGCTGCCATCTTGGATTTGGGGTACCCCCTTTTGATCAAGGGACTTTTTTTACTTCATATTTGAAATCTACGACCAAAATTACATAGGAATTGACACCTCACATGACACTGTATGCGTATTTTTAAAAAAATCGAACTCCCAGAGGCCTTATTATGGCCGCCATTTTGAAATTTAGGCAATTTGGGGGGGTGTTCCGGGAGCGAACCGTGGTAAACTTTTGGTATGTTGTTCAATAGGACCTACTGAAGAAGTTTACGTAGGAAAAGTTTGTTAAGCAATTTGTTCCGGGTTAACCCTCTTTTTTTCGGATTTCTCCTTGACTAACCCCCCAAAAACCCAAAAGTCGTGGATTTAAGGATATGAATTTTGGGCAATATGCACGAATAGCTATCTACTGGCACTTGATTGACTCAAAATGTATAGGATATGCATTTACGAACTACAAAAACAGCCTAACTTGACTTTTTCAGCGCCTTGACCCGAAATTCCCGCCAAAAAAGCGAAAAATCGCATTTTCTCAAAAACGGCCCCATCACAGATTTCGCGGTTTGTTGTTCCTCAATCAGTAGGCCTTCTAGTTGACATTTCCGCAAAAAAATCGCGGGTGGTATGTTGACCGCATTAAAATTGTTTAAAACGCACCGTGTAGGGTGTTTCTTATTTTTTAAATTTTCGAATTCGAAGGAGGTCCTGGTCTTAAAAGTTGATGTGTGGATACATTAGAAGCCTCGAACAGGGAAAAAAATTTAAAACGATTTTTACGCGGTGCTTGAACGACTTAAGTGACACAAGTTGAAATTTGAGATTTTTAGATAAAATAACACCGTTTTCCCATGGCAAACGCCGAGTTACGGGTCTTGAGGGCGAAAATTTCGTCCGTTTGGTCGTATCTGCAACGCTAAAGCCGCAAAACACCCGAGAAAGGCGCGCGCAACGAGAGACTAGGAGCAAAATGGGCGCGCCGCGCCGTAGCGCAACGCGCGCGCATCCTCCGCACTGCCTAAGCGACATGCCGCACGCACGCACTAGGCTTACGCGGGCCCGAAAGTTCCCGTCCGTTGCAATGTATCATTACGAATTGACCTGGATACACTTCAACATTAAAAAACAGTTGAAATGTATAAATACATCAAAAAGACAAATTTTCTTTGTAAAATATTGGCTATATGTAGGAAAATCAATTTCAACAAATTAAACAGTTCAAAGTTAATAAACCAAGTCAAATAATCCACAGTTTACTTAAAGGCCTAGAGTCTTAAAATGGTTGACAGACTATTTTTATTATTTTTATATGGTTTTATTGACTTTGGCTGTGACTTGTAAGAGATCATTAAAATAATTTTCTTCAAATAATACACTAGACATTAGTTAAATTGTACGCTCTGCCGGACAGGTGGATTCGGCAACCCTACATTGTGTCTCATGTTGTGAACAAAGACTCTCTTAGTGTTCAATGTATGAGTCTCTCTTCAAATAATGCCAAGGGAATCAAATTTTTACTACAGAGGTACCATACGTGGCTGGATAAATTACGGAGCACAACACTAGCTGCTGTAGGTACTCTGGTTAAAGCTGCGAAACTTCTTGAGGTCTACGATGACCTCTGGGTCATTTTTCGCGGCCCCAATATAACATATCGACGGTGCAAGTCGGCAATCACATAACTCGGTTTGCGACGTTGCAGACTTCCTGTCATACCTCATTTTTTTAAACGGAAAACTACTCAACGGCAATTCTTTAAAACTGCCGTGATTTTTCTTCTCGGTGCAAAAAAAATTTCTGCAAAAACTTCAAGGAATGGTGTAAATTTGTTCTCTTTTTAAAAAATACCATATAGGCGGAGGTTTTTAGGACACCGCAAATGAGTTATGTGATTGCCGACTCACACCGTCGATATGTCCTCCTCAATGTGTACCTACGCTGAAAAATGCCCGATAAGTCCAGGCTTCTCCCCAACCAACATTCTAGCCTTTTTTTTCAATATCATGGATTTGCCATTTTCATTTCTAGACTCTTGCCCAGCCCAATGGCTATTTACTTCCGAATATCTTGAGGTAAAAAAAGGAGTTAAGTCATAAAAGTTGTTAATGATCATGCTGAGCGCAAAATTAATTGTGATGTCCACACACAACAGGAGATCAGAATGGAGATCTTGCTTGTGTTAGGAGTTAGTGATTTAAGTACTGATTATTACGCACTATTCCGCGGGAAATACGATGGTTTTATCAATTTCCTCCAAGACCATTTCCAAAACTGAAAAAAGCTGTGAAAGTTGATGCCGTAATAGAGGGGATATTCCACGCTATCCTACCTCTGTATCAAGCCAAACTCTCCATGCTGAGAGCGAATAATATACATTGAAAGAATAGCCACTTTGTTTGGGGTTTCCAAAGCTAAAAACACGTGTTTTCAGTTTTGACCGCAATCTTGCGGATTCATTTCGACGGTGTGAGTCGGCAGTCACACGACTCGGTTTGCAAAGTCGCAGACTTCCTGTCATACTTTATTTTTCAAACGGAAAACTACTCAACGGCAATGCTTTAAAACTGCCGTGCTTTTTCTTCCATGTGAGAAGAAAAGTCTGCATAAACTTCAAAGAATGGTGTCAGTTTGTTCTCCTTAAAAAATAACATAGAAACGGAGATAATCAGACACCGCAATTGAGATATGTGATTGCAAACTTACGCCGTCAATTTGCTCCTTATATCTTAGCATAGAAAATTTGGCTTATTGCGAAGGTGGACTCTCAGGAAAGCGGGGATATCTTCTTCAATACGGCCTTAACTTTGAGAGTTTTTTTTTAGTTTTAGGGTTTGTTTCAGAGAAAACCAGTGAAACCATCCTATCTCACGCGAAGTTTTACAAAGGAATCAATACTTGTAGTGCCAACTCCCGATATAAACAAGAGCTGCATTTTAATGATCTCCCTAATAGCCAAAATAGGATTATCGAATAGGTATCGGCCAGATAGGCTATTTTATAGCTATTTATTTTCTTATTTTATATGGTATCGTACAGATGGCATATTTTATAGCTATTTTGTAGCTATTCCATGCGCATTTATCTTGGTTTAAAATTTATGTTTGAAAATATGTATTTTATAGCTATGTACTAGGTTTTTTTTTATTGTATATTTTCTTAAACATGTTAATGAATTTTCGCACTATTGTTAGTTGCAGCCTTAAGAACCATAAGATGATAAGTACATTGCAACGTTGCTATGATAGAGCAACTTTATTTTTTGCAAACCAAAATCATATAGAATTGCAAACCTTAATGCAAAAAAAAAAATCAGCATAGCCCAGGGAATTTTTGCTAAAAGAGTTTCACCTCTACATGGTTTTGATTTGCTGCATTTATCGTATACAGTTGCACAATCTTGGCAACGTATCAATGCACTTACCACTTTATGGTTTTCAAGGTCTCAATTTTGGTTCTTTTTCAAAAGTAAAATACCTTTTAAATACCTTTTCAATAGGTGTCCATATACCTATTACATAGCTATTCAGATACCTATTTTATAGCTATCGAGAAAGCTATAAAATAGGGTATATATAGTTGAAAAAAAGGAC